GGCAGCACACAAACATTTTTAAAAATGAAAAATTACATTCCGCCATGTAAATAGCGAACCCGCCATGGGGCGAGCGCAACTGGCTTTTAAAGGGGATGGGAGATGAGACTCTGATTGGTTTATTGCACATTACGCCCAAAAAACACCCATTACTCATTAAGAGAATAGGGACAACCCGTTTAGACCATGCGCCCGGGCGCGCCGACCGTTTTCCCGTCGTTAAACTAGCAAAAGTGGATTCGGACACGCCCTGAGTGCACCTGCGCCGTGCGCTTTAGACCATGCGCTTAGATCGTTAAAATAGGGCCCTATAGTTCGTTCTACTGTTTAAGAATAATAGCACCTATTCAGTTGTCTCCTTATTAATTCACTGTTTCTGAACATTAAATATGTAAATGTTGACATTCATTACTGTTCAAAAGTTTGGGTCAGTATGATTATTTTTTAAAGAACTTTTATTTAGCACGATTGCGCAAACAATTTCTATTTCAAATAAATTCTGGTCAATCCTGAACAAAAATGTATCAAAGTTTGCATAAAAATATTCAGCAGCACAACTGTTGTCAACAATGATAACAAGAAATGTTTCTGGAGCACCAAATCTGTATATTAGAATGCTTTCTGAAGGATCATGTGACACTGAAGACTGGCGTAATGGCTGCTGAAAATTCAGCTTTGCCATCATAAATTACATTTTAAAATAATAAAACAGAAAACAGTCATTTTAAATTGTAATAACAATGTCAATGTTGTTACTTGTATTCTAATCAAGTAAATGTAACCTTGGTGAGCATAAGAGACTTTCAAAAGCATTACATTTTACCAACCCCAAATTTTAAAACTGTAGTATATATCTCCCTGACATCAGTTGTAGAAGTTTAGAATGAGTCAATTTTGCAGCTTATAGATTCAATAAATGGTCTTTTTGGACTTGGGAGGAAGTTTTGAAAGTCACAGTGTTTTCATCATACATTTTTTTCTCTCAAAATATCAAGTTTTACTCATGATATGACCCCTTCAATAATGAGATGAAGTCTGCCAGACAATCTCAAGTTTAACAGACACAAAGGCTATCCTAGATTCATCTTCTCCACCATAGAGAGGCTGTTTAACCCCTCACCTCAAATATCATCTAACCGTTTCCCAATGGACAAGTGCAGTTTGCAGTATTCTTCACTGATAAAATCCGCTACCATCAGTCAAACCATAGCTGGCACTTCTCCTTTTGGAGTGGTTTCTAGCTCTCCATCTACTGCTATAGAAAGTAATATGTCCATTTTCCTAGTCATCAGCCTTAATAAACTCACCCAGGTCACATCACTTATGAATTCTTTAAAAGTCTTTTTTGACCCATTACACGCTAACTTGCTCGAAACAGTTTTAAACTCCTAATTACTGGACATCCTGAACATTGTTAATCAGTTCCTCCAGCAAGTATTTCACCACATAGTTTAAAGACAGCAATTGTTAGGCCTCTGGTGAAGCAAAGTGATCCTGATTCTCCTCCAATCTTCCATTTCAAAATAATTGAAAACATAATATTCTTACTGCTCAATAACTGTCTCAACATTAATAATCCTAATGAGTTATTCCAGTCTGGCCTTACCATAGCCCTAACATTGCTCTTTTAACAGATCTGCAAGTTAATAAGGTAATCTGTCAATCCCAGATCTGTCTGATCTCAGTGCTGTCTTTAAAGGGGTCATATGATGCGATTTCAATTTTTCCTTTCTCTTTGGAGTGTTACAAGCTCTTGGTGCATAAAGAAGATCTGTAAAGTTGCAAAGACTAAAGTCTCAAATCCAAAGAGATATTCCTTATAAAAGTTAAAAGTCAGCGATCATAAGATTGTACTTGACTGACCGACCTATTAGTCTCAGTTCTAGATTAGTTTAGATCTTGCTTAAAGGCAGGGTATGTGATTTTTCAAAAACACTTTAGAAAACTGATTCGGGCCGAATCGCAAAACAAACTTGTAGCCAATCAGCAATAAGGGGCGTGTCTACTCGTGATGTGGAGGAGAGCGCGTTCAGTGCATGGGACGGACATTAGCCGAGCCGAGCGACAGAGAGATAGAGATAAAAAACTAAAGAGGAAAACGTCTGCGGAAGGATAAGGCAAGAAGTAGGACCCGTGTAAATATCGGATCAGCTTTCCAGCGCTGGAGAGAACTTAAGGAGCGGAGGCCTGCGATCGGACGCCGAGGTTGCTTTGTTTCTTCTCAATAGGTGAGTAACAACGTGTGTCTACAACAGCTAAAGTCTGCCTACACTGGACGCGATCAAACGACCGTTGAAAACCATTTGAAATGTGTGTCAGCACGTCATAAATAGAACCCGGCAGCAGTTTTCTGTCGGGGATTTGTTGTGCCGCGCCGCTCACGTCCGTAGACATGGTGTAACATTGGTTTTGCTTTGTTTCACAGAACTAATCGTTGCCTGGGTTGCGTACGTATGTGTGGGGCGGAGCTATCAAAATAGGGGCAAGACCCTTTTGGGGTAGGGGCGTGTTTGTTTTGGTGATTTCAAATATCAGCATTGGCTACCAGAAATCACTTACTCTGCCTTTAAGTGACAATAAATACTATGCTGCACTGGGTGCACACAACACCAGACAACTTGTGGTATTCCACATGGCTCAGTTACAAATCCTTTATTATTTAAACATTATGTGCCTCTATTAGCTGGTCAATATCCATATCCATCATCAGTATGTAAATGATTACAACTTTTTTTTTTTTACTTGCACCAGATGCCCACAAACCAATTAGCAGACTTCTGGACTACATCTAAAGATTGCAACTAGAGACTCTTTAAAAGTAAATACAGTTTTTATTGTGCCATATATAAACTAATTGTCTCTGAATGTTAAAAAAATTAGGAATCGTGATTGACAAATATGCAATTTTTTTAAAATGATACTAACAATGCTTTAAAACAGCATATTATCACTTTCACAACATCTCTAAGCTATGTGAATTATTTTCCCAACTCACAGTTAGAATCTCATTCACGCCTTTGTCACATCAAGACTTCACTATTGCTGTAGTGTTTTGGCTGCCCTGTCTAAGAGATGTCTAACAAATCATGTGAATGGATTAATTTTATTTAATTAATTTTATAATAAACAGTGCAATATTCCTTGACACATATTGTCCATCACGCCACATCACTCCAGCATATAAATCTATTTACTACTACTTGAGTTAATTTCAAGATATTTTAACTTTGTCTTTACCAGTAAGCTCCAAAGCTGGAATTTAAAACCTGACATGCAGTTACATGCAGTTTCCAGTTTACATTTCTCTTGGTGTTTGCAATTTATTTCCATATATTTCTATCTGCACATTCTATTTTCTTCTATTTTCTTTAATTAGTGCATGAATGCATTTATGTACACATTCAAAAGTTTGGGGTCTGTAAGATTTTTTTCTGTTTTTAAATATCTCTTATACTCACCAAGGTTGCATTTATTTGATCAAAATTACAGTAAAACATATATTGTGAAATATTATTACAATTCAGATTGATTGTTTTCTTTTTTCATATATTTTAAAATGTAATTTCTTTCTGTGGTGGCAAAGTTTAATTTTTGGCAGCCATTACTTTACATCTTCAGTGTCACATGATCCTTCAAAAAAATCATTAAAGTCGGCATGAAACGGAAGTTGCGGTAGTCTTTTCTTCCCTATTTATATATCCGAGTGACAAGCTTTCTGACCAATCATAATGCAGAATCCGCCATTTTGTCTGACAAACAAACCAGACAGGATTAACATCAGTGGACTATGGCATCTTGACATCTTTCCGCAGTTGAGGCACCATATCTGTACATTCATGTTTATTTTGTGCTATAACGAGTAGTAAAGAGGAAGAGATCATCGGTTTACATGCCGCCTGAACTGAGGCAATTGCATTCTTACGCCACACATCATCACGCAGTGAAAAATACATCACGGAGCAAAAGACACTGACAACGTGCGGTCAGACAGAGACAGAGCAGGTTACTTTTGGCATGAAACAGTCTTAGCTTTCAAATTTTGTCATTTTAAAAAATAAATTCAACCAATAAATACCATTTTGTGGCTCGTTAATGTGACAGATCGCTGTAGCGCCTCAGTTCTAGCAGTTTAAACGTGAATTGATCTCTTCCTGCTAGTTATAGAATAAAGTAAACATAACTGAACATCAAAAGGTATGTTGTCTCAACCGTGGAAAGACGTCAATACACCATTTTCAAGTTCGACTCTACTGACGTTAACTCTCCTATATGGTGTGTTTGTCAGATAAAATGGCGGATTTGGCATTATGATTGATAAGATCACCTGTCAATCAAACTCCTAGTAAACGGTGCTAAAATGCCTGGCCATTGGACAGTCAGCATAGTCCAACCCATTTTCCGAGTTTTACATCATGAAGAGAACAGATGTTGAGAGGGGAAAGGAAGGTTAATGTGCTTGATTAAAGATTACCCGTGCAAATGAATTAAAAAAATTAAAATGATGTGCATGGATACATCATTTATAATAAATACTGCAACACTGTAAAAAAATAGAATTGTAATTTTTTATTTCATGATGACTTTAGAATATGTTGATTTTGTGCTCAATAATCATTTCCTATTAATATCAATGTTAAAAACAGTTGTGCTGCTTAATATTTCTGTGGAAATCTTAATGCACTTTTTTTAGGATTCTTTGATGAATAGAAAACAGCATTTATGTGAAATAGAAATATTTTTTGACAGTGTCTTTACTGTCACTTTACTGTTCATCAATTTAATGCCTTCTTGTTCAATAAAGGTAATGATTTCTTTAAAAAAAAATCTTACTGACCTAAACCTTTGAACAGCAGTGTACATATCCAATTGCTTTTAAAGGGGGGTTTAAAGGAGCCTTTAATATGCTGTTTTTAGGCAACATGCCTTTTGATATTTTTGTCTTTTATTCATTTGTTTTTTATTTTGTATGATAAAAAACAGAAAAGTGGCTTTAAAATGAATTAGATGAAAAGTGGCTTTCAGATGAAAGTAGTTGTGTTAATAGAGCAGCTCTGTTTTCAGTTGTCATTAGGCAGGTAAACCCTAGAATTCATTTTTCTAGAGTCACCCTGGAAAACATGCCGAAGTGCACCTCAAATTATTATAATAAACACATGTCTATACATAACTTCCTAATCTGGATTTTGGTGAATTCTTGATAGGTTTAACATAGTTTTAGAGTACCGATGAAGTAAGAACAATGCCATAACAATTCTCTACAAATGGTAACAATGCCATAACAATTGTATTAATGTAGTTATTTTATTTATTTAATTATTTTTTGAAAGTGTATTAATTTAAATTATTATTACAAATTACAAATGCCATTTAATGTTAAAAAGGATAAAAATAAGACTTTTAAAATTGGAAACTTAAAATGCAGTATGTCAGCAAATACTGACATATGACATATTTAATTGTGAGTAAAAGATAAAATAGAATGAGATGATAAAATTCCATATCGTTTTGATCGTCATGAGTACCGTAGAGGAATATATGTGTACCAAGCTTCATAAACACTGTTTGCAGAAGTGTTCGAAATAACACTCTTATTTACTTACTATCACATGTGTTGTTTGTCTTGAGTCTGTGAGAAGTTAACATTGTTCGCCAGAGCAGCTCATTGGACTAATCTAATTCAAGCAGGAGATGGAGCTACGATGTGTTCCTGTAACCAGCTGGTGACACTGATTCAACTGTAGTGTAGTGAGGAGTTGGCTAGTTTACAATTTCTCCTATTACTACAAGCCAGTACTCTGCTATTACATGTGGGTGTGATTAAAATATTTTAATTCCAGTCTTTATCCCCCCAGAACTCCCAGGCACTTGTGAAATGTTATTTCTGCACATAATGAGAGTGTTTTGATTTATTTATTTATAAAAGAGATTTCGGAGGCTGTGGCATCATGTTGAGATAATGGGTTTATTTGCACTAACAACTTGTTCAGAGCCATGTTGTAAATTGCAGTTTGCTTTGAGATTGTTGTTGCTCCTCGGCTGTAGCAGTTCTGTTTGAGTGTAGCCATTAGTAGACTCCTTATTAAGGACTGATTAGAACAGACTACTTAATATATATGTTTAAACCCAGACTTTAAGCTTGCATATTGTATAAAAACAAAACGAATAAATTTTTTACCCAAGCTGTGGTCCTACAAATGGGGACATTATTAGGCTGAGGGGCAGTACAGACGTGATTAAAGGTCTATACTGGTAAACAAAAGGTTGTCGGTTCAAATCCTACAGTCACTGGTGAAGTTGATGGTAGTTGGTGATGAATGTAAGTGGTTACCTGCAGAACAGATGCTCCAGCATGGAGGAACTGCAATCCAGACTCTGCCGAGTCAATACCACCGGTAGCCAAGATCGGGAAGCCAGGAAGAGCTTTCGCTATAGCTGACACTGCACGCAGAGCTATGGGGCGGATTGCATTACCTATCCAAATACAGGAGGGAAATCATTATTAAATGTAAAACAATAATTATATAAAATCAGTTCATACAGATTACAAATCCAACTTGTGATCAGAGAGCATACCTTATACATAGACTACTATTCACATATTTGGGGTTATTAAGAAATTAATACTTTTATTCGGCAAGGATACATTAAATTTTTTAAAAGGGACAGTGAAGACATTTCTATCATGACAACTTTCTGAGGGTTTAGCATGGCAATGTACATGACAATATTAATGTGTTTGGTCTTGGCGGAATAGATCTGCTACGCTGTTGCTGCTGTGGCAGAGCAAGTACCGAGACTTGCTACTGCCAATACATCCATAACATGCTGCTGTGAGCATGTATGTAAGACTGCTGCTGCACATATAACATATGAAATAACCCCCATTTATAGCATACATGAATCACCCCGTAGCAGATCTATACAGGTGGAGCTGGGGAAGGTGGAGTATTTCTGAAGCGCGCTGCAACTGCTACAGCAAGCACTAGACACGTATTTGAATGTTGAGCAGCAAGCTCATTGGCTGCTTATACAGAAGAACCAAATAGCTGCGCCATGTGATGATGTCATTATGTCAGACTGAGTTAGACCTATTGGACTGCACCATCAAGAGTTTCTTCAATTTCAATCTTCAATTCTTCTATCAATTCTTCAATTCTTCAATTAATCCTAAAAAATATTTCCACAAAAATATTAAGGAGCTGTTCAACATTTATCATGATAAAAGATGCTTCTTAAGCACCAAAATGAAAGCATTTTACGACATCATACGCATACTAGTAAAGCAAAAGCTGTTCAGAAGATAAACATCTTCATTTTGTTGCCTCATAAGATACCTGTTTTGTCAAATTCTAATTAAATCTCTGTGACCCAAGAAGGGAGCTATGTGAAAAAAATAAATTACAAACTATTATTTTATTACTGAAAAGTATCAATAAATGGTTTAATATAATTCCAATTGACTATATTACTCAATGTTTTAATGTATTTTTATGCATAATAGAGTACTGCACTGTTTGGTTAGCAACATGCTAATGTCAGCATCTTCTGAAATCAATGCTACATTGATGTACTTTTGTATTTCAACCCATAAATTAGCATCACCCTGGTTCCCCCTTGAAAAAATACAAGATGTTTCCATTCTAACGTTTTGTTTATTAAGATAATATTCACAAATTACCACAAATTTTATGAATTTTAAATCCTAAATACAATCTTCAAAAGAAAAAAGAAACTAAAGTTAAAAAATATGAACAAACTACACCACAACTTTAACATCACCACTTCTGACAACTGCTTTGATCTTTATTTAATATGTAAAAGTTGGTAAGTTTTAGTTAAAATAGTTTGCATGAGAGCAAGTGTAAAGGCAACAAGGCTGTAAAAGTGGACTAGTACATACAGTGGGTACGGAAAGTATTCAGACCCCCTTAAATGTTTCACTCTTTGTTATATTGCAGCCATTTGCTAAAATCATTTAAGTTAATTTTTTTTCCTCATTAATGTACACACAGCACCCCATATTGACAGAAAAACACAGAATTGTTGACATTTTTGCAGATTTATTAAAAAAAGAAAAACTGAAATATCACAAGTCCTTAAGGGGGTCTGAATACTTTCCGTACCCACTGTATACCTAAAGAGATATGGTGATGTTGAAAAAATATGAGATGGGAGTAAAAATTAAATTTCAATGCTTTTGCTTTCACTTGCAAAACTTTGCATTGTCTTGCAAAAGTATCATGTTGCCCTGAAGAACTTTGCGCTCGCTCGCAAAACATTTGTGTTCTCTTGCAAAACTGTTGCGAACGTTTCTAGGGGGACCAAAAAAGTTTTTCTGTGGGGCTCTGTAGATTATTTAATAGTTTACCTGTTTGGCATGATGATGTTTAATGTCCCAGACAACCAGTCCCATTTAGCTAAACACACTTTTCAAAACACCTGAAAGCTTAAAAAATCATGAGTGGGAATTACAAATTTATTTTTGTAGTAAAATTAAAACATGACAGTATCATGAGTTTGTGTTAAACACAGACCTTATTTCAGGCATTTAACCAAAAACACTATTGTCTTCAGAATGATGGAATTGGTACTGCAAATATGCTTGTTTTGGGTTTTTTAGTACTGATTCCTGCAGTGCTCTATTGTAAGTTGAGTCTCCAGAGTGGAGTCCTGGTTGTGTGGCATGTAGAGCTATGTAGAGTGTTTCATAACAGTCACTTACAATGTTCCATATTGGTTTGGCTGCAGCCTTAAAGCAATCAGCGGACAGTGAGGCAGCTCACTGGGTTTGGGATCAGAACGACTGTGTCTACAGGTATCTGGGTTCACCTATGCAGCAGTACAACCCTCCCCGTGCCTTTCTCTCTTCATCTCTGAGGATGGCAGGATTCCCTAATGAAAGCCGAGCGGCTTTCTGATCAGCCAGACAGATGGAAGTGTTTATCACATTACATTTAACCTCATTTTCCCAGCAGGTTCCCATTCATTGATCACAGCCGTACGTTTGTCCATTTAGACTAAATTAAGCTTACACTCCATTGTGGCTAGTTTGGAATTTGGTCTGTAGGTATTGATATATTTCCCAGAAAATAAGAGAAGTAACAGGTTTGAAGGTTGAACTAAATTACATTTACAGACACAAAATTAGCTACTTTTTATGCTAGGTTAGCTTTATTACATAATATTTATTTAAATAAAGGAAAAAAAAACATAAGAAGAGAACATGCTTAAATGTTTCACATTAAATGGGAAAATGCACTTACAATTTTAATAAAGTACCCATACATACTAACTTCATATAATTTCTCAGCACTTTTTACGCGCTTGCTATAGTGAGTGCAACTGTGAAAGCACAAAAACCTATGGTTACTGAGGCTTTTGCTTTGAACCTACTTTTCCTAGTCCTTTTCCTTTTCCTCTTTTTTCTGTAGGCTGCTTGTGTTCAGCAGTATCACACTTGTGCTTTACAGACAGCACAGTCTGTGCTTCGAACAGAGACGGTCCTGGACTCGCCAGCGCTCTGTATCTTTCATCAATACCTCATTACTCTAAGCAGGTCCTATCACAGCTTCCAATGTGAGCGAGCACAGCTCCGGACGAGCACCATCTTCAGTCTGGTCCCGTGCTGAGGTGATTGACAGCTCAGTGAGGCCATCGGTGGCATCTGTTAGCGTGAGGCGTCCGCTACCAATGCCAGACTCTCTGATTAATAATTCCAAACACAGCGCGAGATGGAGCGTGGGGTCTCTGCATCCTCTACGATTTCTATCTTCACCCGAATATGTTGTGCCACAAAAAGACCCGGCTAGATAACAAAAGCAAATAAGAGACGGGAATGACGGTGCAGCTCTCTGTTAATTATGCCTGCCGATGCTGCCAGGGTGTCTGGGGAACATGGTTTTCATGCACAATGAAAGAGATGCAATAATATATCTGTGACAGCAGACTAGCCGGTCAGCATGACCAATCATTAAAACACATATCAAATGAGGAGCACGCTGCCAGCTAAATGAAATCACAGTGGGAGGCCCAACCAGGGGAAAAATAAAGTGACCATATGATCTAGACTAGAGGTCAGCAATTACCAGACCGCGGCCTGGATCCGTACCCCATATTGGCTCCATCCGGACTGCAAATCATTTCTCATAAATTAATATAATCGTAAACATAGCAATGTTTTTCTCTACACACAAAATTTTCAGTCATCACTACACAGCAAAGATGACACAGAAGCAGTATACACAGACTATATAATAGCAAATTTATATATACAATAATTACAATGGCAGAAAAAAATCGTAATAATGAATCAAAAACCGTACTCTGTGAACCGTACGAATATATTACAGATTTTTTTTTCACATAGTGTGTCAAACCATCAAGAAAGGGATAGTGTGCCCAAAAATGAAAATTTTTCATTGCTCATGTTGTTCTAAATCATAAAACTTTCGTTCATCTTCGGAACACAAATGAAGATTTAATTAAACCTGAGAGATTTCTGTTACTCTGTTGAAAGCCTATTGCAGAAAAACTTTGACGTGTCAAAAAGTTTATAAAGAGGTCATAAATAGAGTGGTTTAATCCAAAAAATTGCTTTGTGATGAACATATTTAATTTCTGCTTTTACTCATATATAAACTTTGATCAGCGCACACACATAGAGCTCATCAAATATGGTAAACAGAAGCTCAAATGTGCTTGCTTAACACACAAGAAACAATGAGGTTTGTTCTCACATGTCAACTTTATATGGCTGATCTGCTTGAAAGTTTTGGTGTAATGGAATTTTAATGGAGGGCCAGAAATCTCTCAAGTTTAATTAAAAATATCTTCATTTGTGTCTCGTAGATGAACAAAAGTCTCGGGTTTGGAACCCAGCACATACAGACTATATTTATCTAATTATTTAATTAAATTGCAGCCTTCTGCATTGCTGTAACATCACAAGAAAGACAATCATAATACTGACTTTATTTCAACTAATTGTCCAGTGTTAACGTTTTTTTTTTCTTCCACCTGCAGACCACTAGGAACGTTCGTGGACTACAGCTTGAGAAGCTCTGCTCTGTACATCTTGAGAGACTATCAAGGTTTTTTTTCCCACCTGCAGACCACTAGGAATGTTCGTGGATTTCGCCGGCGCGGCTCAGAACTTCACTTCCACCGTTTGATGGCTTGAGACAGCTTCTTTTTTAGCAGCACTCCGGCATGCTAAACGATCTTCATAACCCACACTATTCCCAAATTGGGGAGATAAATTCAATCACGGCACATATTTTTTTTTGCATCCCCATGCTGCATGGTTAATTATGTACATATGGGCGCTTCCCTAAGCCTCTGGCATTTCCTGCCGCCCTCACTTTTTCTCTGCTCTTCCACCTGTTGGCTGAATGGATGGCACGTCAGGTAGAATTTGTCATCTCTGCTCTGTTCTGACAACCTAATATCATAAGAAGACATCACTCGGCTCG